CTCTATACCATCTCTCCAGCAATAAATTATGGTTCTGCATATATGTCTTCTGTACTAGAATGGAAACTCACAGTACAATGACCATTAATGATGATAATGATGATAGTAATGAATACTGAAGGCTTTCTATGCTAGGAAACTATGCCAAGTTTTTTTTTTTAAACCTATATTATCTTTAATAAGACCATGTCTGATTCATTGCTATACCTGCTTTCTTTGCCCTTCCTACCTCTTACCTCAGAAAAGTTGGTTGAATGAGTTAAAGAATAAAAAGTTGGGCAGCGGAGAGAGAAGGGGGGTTGGGTAGGGGAAAGTGTGTGTAGACTCTGGGTTGGGTTTGGAATGAACATGGTAAAGTGGGTCATCTGGATCGAATGTGAGTTGCCAGACCCCATTTAAAATAAACAATTTTGACCGATTACATTTTAGAATATTTATTGGCCTCTGTTTGCTGCATGCCTGTTTATATTTAAGGTTAGGTGAGACCAGCTAGGGAAGCCGGGTTTCCTGGTTTCTTTCAGGTAATTAAGCCCAAGCTTGGGTAAGGGGAGGGCACAGGAAAAGATTGACAAGATAAGTCACTAGAAAGGGCAATAATCAAAATCACCTTGGGAAAAATGCTTTTTGGGAACACTGGAATGATTTGAGGGGTAAGCAGAAGAGAAGGGGAGCATGAGGTGGGAGGAGAGCATCCTCAAGGTGTGCACACCACCTTGACTGAGAGTGTTTAATTGGGAGAGTGGGCTCTCAAATCTCCTAAATAGGCAGAGCAAAGCTTGCTAGCTGACATCGTTGGAGAAATTGCTGGCAGGCCCTGGAGTGCTTGGTGGGCTTCCTGTGGTGCCTTTGATGCCCTAGGGTGAAAATAAAGGGAAGAGGCTAGTCTTTAAAACATTAAAAAAATTAATTTGTATGAGAGCTTTTAAAATTATTTAAAACTATCCAGTGGAGAAAATTAAAACAACAACAACAACAACAAAAGTCTATCCAGTAAAATGAACTTCCCCTTTGCCAACCTCCATTCCCCAGAGTTCACCTTTGTGAATAGTTTGCTACATATTCTTCTATACTTT